TGTTGTAAACGTGTGAAATGTCGAGTATGACTTCACTATGTTAAATAAAGTATGAGATGCATCTCCCAACAATGATGTTATGGATAAAACATACAATAATCGTATTACATATTTACACATGCAAATTATACCCAGCTCCGTCTCCTATCGAGATGTTCTTCATTTTTTAGCAATATTACAAAAATATTTCATCATGTTTCGTCGAAATTAAAAACAATCAACATCTAAAAGACACGTGTATTATAATGTGGTTATCATCGTTACTACTTGCATTTTTAATACCGTTGTGTACCTGTTGCTATTGGCTTCCTCATAAATAATGAATAACAGTTGAGTCATCGCAAGATGTTGGACAACTAAGATAACCTTTGATATTCTTCTACTAGCAGATGACCGAATACCTTACATAAAAGTAACAGATAACAGAAGTATGGCAACTAGCTAACAATGTTCATTCATTCATCGTTGATCAATCGCCTCTTTAAAATGGCCGCTTTATATTCCAAATTTAAACACAAAGCGGCGGACGCGAGTGGCGTGACACCGCCGCGGCCAACCGGCGCGCGGCGCCCGCGCGGCTAGTGCGTCGACCTCTCCCTCCGATACGATTAAACAATCGATGCATTATCGATACTTAATGAAGACGCCTTGTATTCGATTATTCGAAAATTCCGCGTCTTTGAAAACCTTATCTGTTTATCCGATAAAATAAATGACATATTTGCCTCTCGAAGAACACTACACAATGGAATATCATTTAGCTATTCCATTGTAAGTGCATGCGCACCTGATGAATGTTTCATATAAAATAAAATACTCAAGTTCATGTGATAAGTTCTGTTTATAAACAAAATTGTTAGGAAAAGAACATGTTATTTAAAATTGCAATTAAAGAGATCGGTCAGTCTTCCAGAAGTAAAGTTGTGCTAACAAGATAAATCTGTAATAAAAACTTTGACACTATTTTACTCTTTTTATAAAATTTAAAAATGGAATATACTGATGGAAATGAAAATTCGTACTAAGCCCTCAGGTGATCCGCCTTCTCGTTTGCTCCGTAACCCGAAATAATGGCGACAGTTATCAGCTTTTCTCCTTAGAAGAAAATCATGGAGTGTTATTTATACACACGCATTTATCTAAACACGTGTAACTTTGACTTGTCTCGCACTCTACTCGTATTTATATTTATACACGATAAACTATTTACGTTTCCCTACGACTTCATCTTCCACAATAATATTTATCTAGATATTTTTCTGATATTATGGCTACTGTGAGTGTTTTGATGTTTATAACTCGAATCAAGCTGTAAATACAGTAAAGTTTCGGATAAAAATTCGTACAGAAACTACATGTAGTTATAGTATAACAATTAACAGTGGGTTTAGATGTTTTTGTCTAGGAAAATTCACGATTTCGACGATAATAATTGTCACACGAACGAAGTTGTGGGCTAGCAGCTAGCATGACGAATTGCCTTGTCAGAAACTTAATTTCCGAGTCCAATCATAAGCATTTGCACTTTAATAATTTCCTCTTATTTTACTTATAATAAATAGGCTTTCATATACGATATAATATATAATTATGTATGTTCCTTTCTCGTAGTAAGTCACCGTGATTAAATTTAATTAATCCTTACTCCTTACTTATATTATAAATCGGAAAGTGAGTTTGTTTGTTTGTTTGTTCCGCCTTCACGCCGTAACTACTAGACCGATTGCTTTGAAATTTTGTAGACGAAAAGTTAGAAGTCTGGATTAAATAATAGGGTACTTTTTATACCGGAAAAAATTGATATTTCCTAGGAAAAACAAAAATATTGGTATAGATGGCGCTGTATGTACTGGTATAGATGGCGTTGTATGTCATTTAAAACCAGTCAACGTATTACCTACTTATTGGAAAAATCTAAATAGCGCGATATAACCGAATTCCATGCGAGTGGAAAGCTATTTGTTAGTTTGCCTGTCTTAAACGGCAGAACGGAGGTACTAATTAACGTGATTTTTTAACTGAACGTTTTTAAGTTGAATGGATGGATAGTCACATAGGCTACTTTTTATCCTTTAGTGACGCGAGCGAAGCTGCGGGTAAAAGCTCGCAAATAAATATGTAGAATATCTTACTATTTTACTCCTTACTACTAGGTATTATAAATGAAAGGTTTGTGTTTTCGTGTGTTGATTTGTTACTCAATTGCGTCAAAACGGCTCAAGTAACCGAGATGAAATTTAGAACAGAGGTAGGTTATAGGTAGATGTTCTGGAATAACACAGGCTACTTTTTTTCACGGTAGAATATAGTTATAAATTTTATTCTAGATATATATAAAAATGAAAACATTTTTGCCCTTGGTCACGGCATCACGCGTGAACGACTGGACCGGACCGGACTTTCATTTTTTTTTCGTTGTATTTCTTATTATTAGGAGAAGGTCCTAATGACAGAAAATTCCAAATCCTGGAAATCCTACGGAAACGGGAGAAAATGGGTTTACGCGTACGAAGTCGCGGGCAGAAACTAGTAACGAATAAATTTTCCGCAAAACACATGTCAATGTCATATCGTCTCCTCAGCTATGAATGTTTAAACTGTCTATTTCAATATTAACATAATATGTTATGTTACGACACTAGGTATGCTTTTTCACACATAATATCGTACGACTCTGTTCATGACATTGACTTGTATATTACCTATGATGTAACACGATTTATTCAATTATTTACATTTCCAAATGTGTTGTCTTCATATTTATGTGTATTTATTAAGCAAAATGATATTGTGTTTATGTATTGCATACATAATTTTCAATATACAATGAAAATCATAAGTAAAATGCGTTGCTAAGCGCTAAACTCGGGAATGACTGAACCGATTTTGTTAATTCGTTTTTTGTTGTGGTTTTATATAGTCAGGTGAATGTAGGTTAATGAAAGAAAAGGAAAAATATACTGACATATTAAACTTCACCTTTCGACTTCACACCATTTTAAAAATTAATTTCTGGGTCTAGTTTTATGGTTAGTTTTTACTGTCAATGTCAATATTCTCTATCTTAATTATTGTCGCGGAGAAGCTAACGGGTTACCGGGGCTCCGGCTCGAAGTGCAGGAGAAGGAACAGGGTGGTTTTTAGTCAGTAAGAGTCTGACACTCCCTCTCGCCACACCCAGGCGGGAGCAGTCATACGATGATTTTCGACTCTTAAAAAAATCCTAATCATTTAAGATCAAAAAAATACACCCAAATAACTTGTGTCTGCCTGTCTTTGAGAATTGTTCTCCACACCGCAAATATCAATCAAAATATTAATTTAAAAAATAGCTTTTAAATTTTTCATAACCACATTATTACGCAAAACGATATAAAATCGATTACTTACAATTATATTCTGTCGATCAAGGACAGGTTGTTGACCCTGTTAATCGACACGTTTCTGCGATATTTTTAGTATTCGCCCTCATGCCTTAGTTGCTTACTTAGAGAAGGACAGACGTAGTCATACGTGTATTCATTTCATGCCAATATTATTGTTACTTACATACGTAGATATTATGTGAATAACAGTGATGAATTAAGTATTTCGCTATTGATAAACATTAAACAGGTTTAGACACATTATTAAATATAATGGTGAAAAAATCTGCGTCCTCTAAAATGCATAGCTCATGTAACATCTCAAAAGACTAATTATAATAAATGAGGGTTGTATTTATAAGCTAAGGAACGAGAAGAGACTATAAAGTTATAACGTCTCATTTTATTTATACGTACAGGTATTTATCTATATTAGCAATCTTTTCACATAAGTACATAACTATGGAATACCAATTGGTACGATTCTTACATACCTCTTTCGCTTCATCAACAGTCATCAATATTGGCATGCTCGTTGGTTAAGGATACGTTTAATTTGGCCCTATCTTTTCACTTTCACATTCTTTTCACATATGTAGGTAAGGTAAAAGCGATATTAAACTACGCTACTGCTCAGTAGCAGTTAACTTACTAGTAGTACAGAGTATACCCAGTGGTATAGAGTATCTACCTACGTAAGTAAAACCGCGTGTAGAGCTGGTCTATAAAAATATTAAGAATGTTATCTAATCTAATGGTATTGTATTACTAATACTCGTTCGATACTATATTGTGGTCTGATTTTGATCAAATCTACAATGACATCGGAAATTCGACGAAATATGTTGTTTCAGATCTGTTTATGTTTTCGTCAGCCCTCCCCGACATTTTTATAAAACATTTTAAACACCATTAATATGTTGAACTGAACTGCACATATTATAAAATAATTCAATAATATTTCACGCTCCAAATATGCTACAGTGGGTACGTGTCTTGTTCATTAATACTGATATTAAACAATTGTACAAATAATGTCTGTTGGATAGCACCAGTTTAATTGTTCAGACCACGTGTCGATAATTCGGCATAGTCAATAATTCCTTTTTTACCTAATCGTACATGTGACTAAAAGAAAATGTGAAGGCTTTACTAGACTGGACGGCTATGGTCAACACTTACAATCAGACGGACCATTAACTTTGTTAGTTCCAATAGTGTTCATAAAAACGAATAATACCTTTGAATCACAATGTATTTGTCGTCAGGGGAAATGGATATTATCAAATAAGTCGATATGTTTACAAGTAGAAAGCCAAGAGTCCATCGGCTGATGCATTACCAAACCAGCTGGATGGTACCAGTATTTATATTATCTACTAGCGATCCGCCCCGGTTCCCACGGGTGCAATATGCATGTATTATACATATAAACCTTAAGAATCACTCTATCTATTTATAAAAACCGCATCAAAATCCGTTTCGTATTTTTAAAGATCTAAGCATACATAGGAACAGACAGATGGGGGCGGGTAGTGGCTTTGTTTTATAATGTGTTGTGATTTTACATAAAATATAACTGCCTTCAAAAAAATAATAATTAATTATTATTATTTTATATTTTCTTGTCTCCAGGAATCATGGCAGGACCACAAAGTAAGAGACACGGGTGCAGTTATCAACATCCTGGACATCGGACGGCAGAACTTCGCGAACGGAGGCGTGGTCTCCCGCTACCTCTGTGACTTGGCACAATGCTGCAACCTTTGCGCATACGACTATAAGGATGTTGTTCCTAATGTGAGTACCATAATATATGTTTTTCATTAACTGTTGATATTATTTAATTTAATGAATGAATAAAACCGTTAATGGTTTTTGATTTCATTAAATGGACAACTCTGCAATACTTACACACCACACAGTTTTGGTGAGTCGCGCGTAAATATATGTAGTTCTGTCACTACAAGTACATTTTAAAATGACAGAGATGGCACGATAATTAAGTACAACTTAAAATTGAGTAGGCTTTCAGTTTTTTTTGACTCTGCGCACATGTAGCTTTAATTCTTCAGGCCGTATAATTTTTTGCACAATAGATTCGGGCGTAACCAGTATGAACACTGGCCTTTTTGCGCCGCTATGACGACTTTTGTTTATATTTTAGTTTTTTTTTGTACTTTTCTGTTTACGGTGCAAGTGCAAAAAAAAGATATTTCTTTCAAATATATGTGATTTGTTTTCTCAAAACATACAATATTTTTTGTCCAGGTTGTTAAAGACGAGAGCGTAGCACAGGCAATAGAAGAGGCTACACAAGAAGAATTAGCGAAGGCCAAAGAGAACGGCCAGAGTGGCGCTTCGTACGCCACCATACGGAAGCGGGTGGAAGCTCGCGCCTTGAAAGTAGTACAAGACATCAGCTCCGCCATGTCCAATAATGTGCTCAAGTGAGTTGCGACTTTATTACAATTGTTTTAAAGATGGTTTTTATTTGAATCTAAACTGTTTGGTGTTGTGATTGTTTATAGTTTTTCATACTTAAAGATTTAACTAATAATAGCAAAATACGTGTAAAAGTTAAGGCTTTAATAACAAAAAAGTCGACAATTTCCATTAAAAACTTTGTAATTTTTAATATGCAATCACATTTTATTAAATCTTACCATTCAGTCACATAATATCTACAGTGTCTTCCTTTTCAGATATGAAAAAACTTATGTAAAAGGTTCAGTAAACTTGGACTATCAAATTTTGTCTATTTAAACCCTTTTCCATTCATGTTATTTAAATGTAAAATTCACACATCCACAGATTCGTAGCCTGGGTATGTCACAAAGCTGTACGAAGAGTAGCGGGCGGTGGATGCGGCACTCGTGTCGCCGGAGTGGAACGTCTCCGTCGGGCCAACGCAGCCGGCCTGCCAGTAGTCTTCGTACCTCTCCATAGATCTCACTTCGACTACATCCTCATGACGTTTACCCTGTACCTTACTGGACTGAGGCCTCCGCTAGTTGCTGCTGGTGATAACATGAGGATCCCATTCTTTGGGTAAGTTTTGTAATCAAATATTTAATGGAGGTTTCTTTAACCTTTTTTAAAAATAAAAGAACGTTACCCCACACTAGGATTGTCTCCTGTGTCGTGGGTGCGCTTACAAATATACAAGTACACATACAAATGACGCTCAGACCCGGAACAACAATCTGTTGATCACACAAAGAGTCATTCACTGCAGAAATCGAACTCGGTACACGTTGCCCGGCAGCCAGTTGCCTAGCCATTCACAAACATAATTATTTTAGGTAGGGTGGCAAACTAGCCGACAGATCACTAGTCGCAAGTAAGCAATCGAACATGGACACTCGCAATTAGATAAGTTGGAAGTGCGTTACCTACGTTTTTGGGGATTGGGGATAGAGGGGAGGGGGAGGGGTTGAACCTCCGCGGCTCCGGCAACCTCTGTCTTACGACGATACATAACACACACGTTGTTCCACGACACGTGAGGCCGTGGTATCACTTCGGTCAAGCAAGCCCATTCGAGCCAAAGCGTGACTTTCCCACGTGACAATTATTTATTACTACTAAAGTATTCTTAAACTGTCAAACACCGAGCGGTCACCGGTGACCGCGACCTATTGTTCTTTAATTGTGTCTATAAAACCGGTACTCGACGAGTTAACATTATATTACCTGACATCGCGGTGTGAATCTGATAGAGTTTTGGGCTAATCTAAAGCAAGAAAACTTATATTTATCTTCTATTTATTTATTGCAGATGGTTCCTACGAGGTTGTGGTGCGTTCTACATCAGACGAAGAGTGGAAGGTTCAGAGTATCATGGCGACCCCACTTACAAATCAGCTCTTAGGTAAGCATAAACTATAAACATAACATAACATCACGCCTTTTATCCCCGAAGGGGTAGGCAGAAATGCACATTATGCCACTGTACAATGTAACACCCACTTTTCACTATTTATGTTATGAGTCCCATGTAATAGGGGGTGAGCCTATTGACATATACCGGGCTCAATTCCAGACACCGTGCTATTATTGATAAATTTTTAAAATACTCAATAATACTTTGCCCGATCCAGGAATTGAACCCGAGACCCCTTGCCCGGCAGTCGCACTTGCGACCACTCGGCCAACGAGGCAGTCTTAGTTAATACTTTTTATAATATTATTGTAATGTTGATTGCAGGGCATACATTCTAAATAGTTTGTCAGCTGGTAATAACCTGGAATTCTTCATCGAAGGAGGTCGTACTCGAACTGGCAAACCTCAGACACCTAAAGGTAAATAATGTTTTAGTTCATATTTATTATTATTGTTAATTAGTTCAAGTGAATTCGGACCTAAATGTATCAGTACTAAAGTTCAATTTAATGTTCACGCTTCCTTGGAACGTGCAGAAGGTATGTTTTACGAGCGTTTCGTTTACTTTTTAATGTATTTTCCTCATATAATAAAATATGCTACCTAATATAAAGCCGATCAGAAACGTATTTTGTATTTACGGTCCACTTAAAATGCACAGCTATATTGGAAACAGTGCTTAGTATGCGCAACTTGCGCAAAACCTAGCGCAACTGCAACGTGTAGTTGCGCTACTTATACCTTTACATAACATAAAACAAACATAACATCACGCCTTGTATTCCCGCAGGGGTAGGCAGAGGTGCACATTACGGCACTTAATGCCACTGTATAATGTAACATCCATAACATAACATAACATCACGCCTTTTATCCCCGAAGGGGTAGGCAGAGGTGCACACAGAGGTAACACCCACTTTTCACTACTTATGTTATGAGTCCCATGTAATAGGGGGTGAGCCTATTGCCATATACCGGGCACATTTCCAGACTCCGTGCTACTACTAAGATTTTTTTTTAAAAACCCAGTACTTTGCCCGACCCGGGAATCGAACCCGAGACCCCTCGCCCGGCAGTCGCACTTGCGACCACTCGGCCAACGAGGCAGTCCTTTAACAATAATATAGTGAAAATAATATAGTGAAAAGTGTAACATCCACTTTTCACTATATTATGTTATGAGTCCGATGTAATAAGGGATAAGCCTATTACTATATACCGGCCACAATTCCAGACTCTGTGCCACTAATGAGATTTTTTTTTATAAAACCTAGTAATTTTTGCCCGACCCGGGAATCGAACCCGAGACCCCTTTGCAGTTGCAACCACTCGGCCAATAGGGCAGTCATATCTTTGCCTCAACCATAATTTTACTTACTTAACAATGTCTTTCCACAGCGGGCATCCTATCAGTGATAATGGACGCGTATCTAGACGGGACAATAGACGATGCCCTCCTAGTGCCTGCCACGTTGAACTATGACAAACTAGTCGATGGTAACTTCGTACGCGAACAACTGGGCATGCCCAAACAAATGGAGACGTTCTGGTCTGCTCTCAGGGGTATCTGGAGAACGCTGAACACCAACCATGGAAGCATCAGAGTGGATTTCAATCAACCTATTTCTTTGAAGGTAATTACTTTTTTTTTGCTTTTATTTTTTCTCTGATGATGACTTGAGTGTGAGTAGTATGATTTATAGATCTGGCTGATTTTTACGTAACTTAGTTTTTTTTTTTCATTTTATTACAAAAGCAATTTACTTTATGATTTTACATTTACAGTCTGAACAGTAATTTGTCAACCTCATGAATAGTCCTGTACGGGAATCGTACCCGCAACAGGTTGAACAGCAGCTGAATGTTTAGTCAATCTTGCTGCCAACTAGTAGCATTATAATAACAAAATACTTGCATAAACCTATAAGACATTATAACATCTTTTTATAAATCATATTAATCACAAGAAAAACGGGGCCTTTCGCATTTTTGTCCACCAGATGTCGCTAGTGTGCTACTCTCGTTCTTTGTCCAATAGGGAATTAGCTAGTTTCACACCATTAGACGTCCAATATTAAACAGCTGTTATGATTGGACAAGTCCCCATTAAAACAGTAGGGAGAACAAAAGTACTTACTTAATAATAAAATATTAATTTCCAGGAGCTAGTAACATCATTCCAGAAGTACCAGCATTACAAGGCCCCAATAGAGACCTGCTTAACCCCTCCCAACAACAACTTGGCAGTAAACCTTGATAGACAGATCTTGTACAACCACAGTCATTCCAGTTTGTATGGAGCTGATGTTAGCACCGACCATAAGATGATGGTCGAGGCTATTGGCAGGCATTTGGTATATGGTGAGTAATCCTACTGGAATTCACTTAAAATTACAAGTTACTCACGTAAATATATACAGAAAAGTTCAACTAATGTCGAATCACAGAGGGACTCTTCATGAGTAACATGCGCGGACGTGGCAATGTCGCGCAGCCTACATAGGCTAATTCACTATGTCTCACGATAGTTGTAAAACATAGTAATCCTACTATCCTACTAATATTATAAATGTGAATTATTGTATGTTTGTTTGTTAATAGTTTATTAATTGTAATATGACTTTGTGTTATACTTTTGTCGATTTTTGAAAGAAGTTTATTGGTATAGTTTTTATAAATGAATATGTTGAAGATTATTGTTTAGTGCTCAAGTTGAAGAAACGTTATTTCTCATGAAACATTTGTAAATCTGAGTAAGGCACAATGTGTTTTCTATTGTCTGATGTAGGAGCAGTCGACATATAAACATGAATATCGCGAATCAATTAGGGAAATGATTTTTTTATGGTTAGAAGCCGTTATTTATTTTATTTATTTATTTATTTTACATAAGTACAGATACAGACGACAGATTGAAATCGTACACAACAATCTTAATTATAAATAGTGAGCGAACCTGAAGTCCAATTACAGCTGTACATAACCCACTTATATCAAATTACATAACAATTCCCAAATGTTAATCCATTTTTCTGTAATAAATCTTGTTCAATTCTTGAAAACTAAAAACTAAAAATGTTCTACTAAAAAGCGGCTATACAAGAAATCAAAGGTAACAAAAGGTACAAAGGGAACAACTGAGTGAGTGAACAACAAACCTGAAACAATGGCGTAACGACACATATCATGCTCATCGAGTTTCACTGTGACGCAGAAGGAATTTTTTAAAAGCACTGAGTTTGTCATGAAATATATCCACTTGAGCGCAAATAGAATTATAGTTTTTACACATTCTATATAGAGGATTGTTTTCTGAGACATTATTATTGCTAGTAGGAATATTAAACAGTCGAGGAGTACGAACAGATCGAGTCGGTATTCTTAAATTTAAATACTCAATTAGGCCACTATCCATTGAACAGTGAACAATTTTATGGAGGATATATAAGTCGCTCATCCACCTTCTATGCTCCAAAGTTAACAAGGAGAATCTCTGCAGCCGATCTTCATATTGGGGTATTTTGCGTCTTAACCCACATTTTGAGCATATAGCTCTTACAAAACGTCTCTGGATTGCCTCTATCCTATCCGTATGGACGGTATATATTGGTGACCATACCGACGAACAGTATTCCAAGATGCTCCTTACCAAAGAGCTATATAAAACTATCATGGTGCTAGGGCGTTTAAATGGTTTTGCAGATCGGAGCACGAATGAAAGCATACGGTTTGCTCTACTACATATTGACTCGTACTGAGGTCTAAAAGACAGAGGGGAGTCAAAAACCACCCCCAGATCACGCACAACTGTAACTCTCTCAATAATGGTTCCCTGAATGTGGTAACTATACTGCAATATGTTCTTTTTATTTTTTGTGAATGTAATAACCTGACATTTTTTTATATTCAGAGACATGCGATTCCTACTGCACCAATCAACAATAGTATCGATGTCTGTTTGGAGAGTTTCACAGTCACTACGATCAGATATACGTTTAAACAGCTTTATGTCATCAGCATAGGCCAAACACTCACTTTTGATCACACCCAATAAGTCATTAACAAAGATTAAGAACATCAATGGTCCTAGATTGGATCCTTGAGGTACGCCCGATGTTGCCCGGTATGGAACAGAATCATATCCACTAAGATTAACCAGTTGGGAACGATTTAACAAGTACGATGTAAGCCATCTATACAGATTGCCATGCATTCCCATACCACGAGATTTTGCCAATAGAATAGAATGGTCCACACGGTCGAAGGCCTTAGAAAAATCTGTATATACCGAGTCAACCTGCGTTTTACAGTTAAAGGATTCGCATATATAATTTGTATAATGCAGCAGGTTTGAATTCGTGGACCTACCCGCCACAAAACCGTGTTGTTTTGGACTCAATATATTTCTAAAGTAGCAATATATATGCTTATATATAAAGCTTTCAAATATTTTGGCGAAGCAGTTAAGAACGCAAATCGGACGATAGTTTGAGACGTCCCCCCTATCGCCCGACTTGTATATCGGGGTAACCCTGGATATCTTCCACAATTCCGGGAAGACTCCCTCACTCAGCGACTTACTGAAAATGATATGCAAGGGATCTACCAACGCCGCCGCACATATACTAATAAACACTGGTGGAATACCGTCAAAACCACTACCCTTAGTCAAATCTATCCGTTTTAATTCACTTAGAAGGTCGCTCTTCGCAATATACAAGTCTCCAATCGTAAAGTTTGAAGGGTCACAATCCGGGACACAAACTCCTGGTTCGCCAGCGCAATAAACCGACGAAAAGTAGTCTGCAAAGAGGTTGACAATATCGGTACCTGAAGAACCAATTTTATCATGATAGTAAACATGACTGGGCACGGTATTGGTAACTTGTTTGCTTTTGGTATACCGCCAGAATGCTTTGATATTGATTTTAAGATCCTCCTCTATTCGTTCAATATACGTCTTGAAACATTGCCGTGCAAGCACTTTCGCCCTAGCCCTGAGCATTGAAAACATGTCATAATCTCTTGGATTCCTATATATTATGTTACACTTTCCTAGTGTTTCTAAATACGATCTCATCCGCTTTGTTACATGATTCGATATATGATAGACTTACGTTCTGTACTAAAAATGAGTACTACTGAAATTCGTCAATGACTAAATAGTACGTGTACATGTTCCAGACGCGGCGCAGGCGACGGCGCTGATGTGTACGAACGTGGTGTCGTACGTGGTGCTGTGCGAGGCGCGGCGCGGGCTGCCAGCCGCCGCACTGGCCGCGCGGCTGGCCGCGCGCACCAGGGACCTCGCCGCCGCCGGACGGGACCTCGCCTACACCGGGGACGCCGCCACCGCGCTCAGACACGCCGTCAGTACTCACTACTTACTCAACACGCAATATAGAGCTCTCTAATAATCCAATAATCACATGCCTAATCGACTTGCACATGCTGTTAATAATGTAGCTACTTCATTTTTCATCATCATCATCAATATGATGATAGGGGACAGCCACGCAAAAACTTTTTAACTATAAAGTTAAAATATTTTTGCGTGTCTGTCCCCTGCGACGAGAACGTTAGATTCCTTTTGGCTAGGATCACGTAAATGTAGCTATAACGCTCACCAATAAATATTTAATGTGTGGTTATTAGTTCAGTTCAAATACCAAAAATACAAGGTGCTACAAAAAATTTTAGTCTTTAATAATATAATGTAATTAAGTCGAAAATCTTAAAATGTGTGTTGTATAATTCCAGTTGGAGATGCTCGGCCGTGGCCTGATCCGTCGTGAAGGCGATATAATCCGCCCCGGCACTAGCATCGCAGCCCAGCTAGAGCTGGCGTACTACGCCAATACTGTCGTAGCGCACTACGCCGCGCCTGCCATCGTCGGTGCGTATTGACTTATAAATTATCTTATTATATGAAATTCAACACTGAACAGAAATTTTTGTCGTGGCGTATTATGGTCTTTAAAGTCGGTAGGTACATTTCCCATTTACATTTGCCCGTCATCCTTGTAAAGTCCAGTTAGATCCTTACACTTTAGTTTTGTAGTTGTAGAAGGTATTCATGTCCCTGGGACGCGCCGGACTTCAGTGTTCCGGTGTTTTTATGGTTGTATACTGTAGATCCTAGCTTACAGGAGTTGCAGCGGTTTTCAGTGGCCACAACCTCCCAAAACCACTGCAAAGCCTGTAAGGGCTTGTCCCACTTAAAAAAAAGTCGAAGGTGTAGTAGCTCACAGAAAAGATCACAAGTAATAGTTGCTAGTTGCGTCTATTAACTTAAAAGACGCAACTAGCAACTATTATTTAATAGTATTAAGTTTGGTGCTTCTTTCCTTAACGTTGTTCGGTAGATTAATTACTGCTACTACGATTACTGTAATACCTTAAAATATAATATATAAGGTATTACATAGTATATTTTAAGGCATATATTATATGCTATGCATTGGGTGACGCGCATTCAATATTGCTGCGTCGACTATACGTGCTATGTGTGGTTATAAAACCGTACAATGATTTTATTATATAAAAACATCCATGTCCTAAAACAGGCTATTCTTTCTCCCACAGCGACGGCCCTGGAAAGTTTGATCTGTGCATCGTCATCAACAGAGTTCCGTCAATCAGAACTAGTCAGCGCATCACTACAACTATGTGAAGTACTATCCCATGAGTTTATTATCTGTGCACCGTGCCAGAGGATCCAGGATCAAATCCTGGACGTCATCGACTCGTTGGAGTCACAACAGCTTATAATCAAGGATAAGGTGATTTGTTTGAAATAATATTATATTAAATGTCGTTGAAAAAGTTTTTATTGTTAAGTACATGGTATTTCTATTATAAACTAGCATACCCGGCGAACTCCGTTTCGCCACCAGATGGCTTAGTTATTATTTCGTTTGGTGATAAAAGAATTTTCTTTGCTATAAGCCTCACGGAGCCTGAGACCTTTCCAACGAATGCAAAACCGTGGAAATCAGTTCGTGCGTTCCGGAGTTATAGCGTCAGGAAGGAAAACCCGACTTTTTTATATAGTACATATATATTATGTAATAAATAATTATTGTAAAAGTTCTTTTATAAACAACGTTTAAAAAACCGACCTCCTTATTTGAAGTCGGTTAATTAATATATTAAAATCTTCTGTAACAAACAATTTTCTGTTAAAGGTATCAAAATCATTTCAGCCAATCATGAGATAATTGTGGACAAAAATATATGACATGAGTCAAACTCGAAAACTTCTTTATTTTGAAATCGATTAAAAACATATCAAAATACAATTAAATATACACAGAATATAAACAAGAAATATGAGCAGTATTATATTCCTAATAGGAGAGATGAGTAAACAATTATTACTATACCGTTATTTAATTAATAAAATATTGAATTTCCAGTCGGATGCGGTACTAGAGGAGCAGCAATGGTCGCGTCGCATGGCGCGCCGCCTCGAGGGAGACGACGACGACGACCGGCCCGACCCCACCCAGCGGGTCACCTACACCGTCTCCGACAAACCTGAAGCCGTCGCCGAGAGGTATTCATACTAGCTTCTATCTTCTACTTCATCCGCGGTCCTGTTACGGCCCCGGCATTATCACTGGACGGCCGCGGTACTTTATTTTTTTTTTAAAACGTTGCCCCACACTAGGATTTTCTCCTGTGTCGTGGGTGCGTTTACAAACATACAAGTTCACATACACAAAGACACCCTAGACCCGAAACAACAATTTGTGGATCACACAAAGTGTTGTCCCGTGCGGGAATCGAACCCGCGACACGTTGCACGGCAGCCGGTTGCCCAGCCACCGCACCAACCGTGCAGTCACTTTGTCCATGCCGTGCACGTCAGGCGTGCGGAGTGTCGCGCAGCCGTACCGGCCAGTTGGTCCGAGCGGCCCGCGCCGCCGCGAGCCAGGCCAAAGAGTATAATAAGTATAGGGGAGCCAGTCGTCGCCCGTGTGGCGGACTGAGGCCACGCACGTCACACGTCACACGCGACAGCAGCGAACAGAAGCAGATGAAAATGTAACTCAGCGATAACTACAAGCAGACCCTTCAAGCAATATTTATAGTCCACAATAAATATACAACGCTAACAGTCCCATGGTACAAAAAGTAGCACGTGGGTTTTTCTAGATCATAATCGATCCCTGTTTTAAATTTAAATCCCGATCCTTTCAGAAGTTTTGACGTGATCGAGTTGCAAACATACATATAAACTCACTCAAACTTAATATTAGTAAGATACCTGCTTCGGCACACATGGGTCGGCACATCATGGTAATACTGGAAACCGACTTGAAACAAACAACGTTGTGTATAGCATATGAGTGAGGATATAGGAGTTACAAGTGGGTACTTGTAACTCCTCTGGTGTTGCGGGTGTCCATGGGCGGCGCCATCAAGCAATCCAGATGGATTGCTGTATTTAGTAAACAAGCATCTGCTTATTGTATAAGGGTAATTTTATTGAGGAATAAATGGATAAGGTAGTTCCATCTTAGACATATAATTTGCAATGATAGTTAATATATTTGTTTTTTATTTCCAGACAAAGACTCGTCCTAACGCTCCGGCCGCTACTGGAGGCGTACTCAGTGACGTGCCGCCACCTACAGGCGGGCACCATGAAAGATGTCGTCAAGAACTCACTCGACTCACTCACTGAGGACTTTACACAAAATAAAATGCTCTACGGTAAGTTTATTTGTGAATAAGTAGATGGCGTATTTGTGTTCTAGTTGTCCCCCATGACAGGCAGATTATGGAACGCCAATTGCTACTATTCTTACAGTCATCAGTCTTTTCATGCATGCTCATCGGTTAAGGGTGCTTTTAATTTGACCTTTCTTTGATAATCTGGTCGATATATGTCCGTCTAGGGCGTCTACACGGGCGACGTTCCCATTCATATTGGCTCTTTATCTACACTAATACTATAAAGAGGAAAGATTTGATTTTTTGTTTGTTTGTTTGTTTATAATGTATAAATAACTTTAACAGGTGAAGCAGTATCTACAGACGCGATCCGCAACTGCCTCCGTCTACTGCGGCAGTGGGGCGTTATCCACGTGTACACGGAGGGCAAAACCCGAGCCGTGCGTATAGCGGAGCCCTACGCCTCCGCCTCAGCACTAGAAGACGTCTGCCACAACGTACACAAGTTCAACATGAACACCCCACTACTAGAACCAAGTAATAAATAAATATCAGCACCTATATTTATTTAGTGTTAACTATGTAGTGTTTTTACTGACATACTATTTTCGAACATGCTCAACTATTCTCGAGCTATACCGGGATTCATAATCTTTACCTATATAAGCTTCACCGTTTTTGAATAATTATGACCTCCGGTTTGGCTCGTAACGAGTCGGGTTACTCCGAAAAATATCGTAAAAACATTATTTATATAGAATATCAGCCTGTGCTTGTCCCTTTGGGCAAAAGGTTATAAAATAAAGTTTCTTAGACTGTCGTAAACTATGTAGGGCTTAATTTCTTATCTCAATACGGCCAAGATAAGCGAATTTGGACTTTATTGTCATGAGAATTTGGTTCATTTCTATGTGTATCCGTTATTTGGATTCGATAATTGAAAAATAGAATCTAGTTACTAAAGAATATAGTAGGTTTTTGAATAAAAATATGGCGATATAGACATCATATATTTGCGTTTAAAACATGTTTATCGTGTTTTTTTATCGTAGCAATGGTGTAGAATGCGATTTTGATAGAATACCATCTTTGAAATTATTGGTTTTGATTATTTTAATCGTCCGATAGTTTTTCATTGGACGAAATATAAATTTAAATAACTAAATATAGTTAATTGGTATTGCAAAGCTATTTCGAAGATGAACAAACATATTATTCTCTTTATAACATTATATTGTCATATTTACCAATAAATTGGTATTTAATCGAAATGAAACCATTTGCCTATGAATATAGAGTTCATATTCCTATCAAATACATTTATATTGACCAAAGATATTCTTTAAACTGTAACTCGATGGGGCTGCATTGAGCAAGGCAGGTTCGATTCCCTGAATGAACATATGGAATCATTTGGGCTGCATGTTATACCGGCTGAAAATATACAAACAAGCTATGCAAAACTGTCAAATTATTATCAACTATAAATACTGAAGTATAAGGCTAGAAATTGCCTAAAGATGTTTGTCACATTTAGTTTTCCTTCAAACCTTAAGTTATAAGAAACTGTTAAATTATTTTCGACCATAAATGCTTAAGTGTAAGGCTGAAAATTGTCTCAACATGTTTGTATTTAGCAGTCCTTCAAACCTTATGTTGTATGGTACTGTCAAACGATTTTCACTCTTAAAAACGAAAGTATAAAGTTGAAAATGATAGGAATTGGACAGTTTTGTTTAGCTTTGTATTCATACATATGGATTGACCGGTCATTAAACTTGATTTTGTATCTGTACATAGCTTCCTTAGTGCTGACATTCAAAGCGATATGTCAGCGCTGAATGCAACTTAGAAACGTGTAAAAAAGGAATGATGAATAAAACTTATTGCCCTGTAATATTATACGAATCACAGCTACAGCTTATTAGTGGCCACTGCCGACCAAAGTCCTCTCCTCACGCGGAGAAGGTTTGAGTTTTACTCACCACGCTTGCTCAATGCAGGTTGGCGATTTCAAACTTATAATTAGGAATTATAAGCCTGCTGTCCTCCTCACCATTTAATGGGGTAGACGACTAATTTTTATTTTTAATGTCCGTCTGTTAGATTATTTAAAAACATTAGACACGTATTTTTTATTTTCTCACAGAAACGAATAGTTTCGAAGATATATTGATTTGAAATGTCGCGTGACGTCACTTCTCAGTACATTTTATACTAAGGAATGACGTTTTAGCCCCCACTCCTAAACTTTGATTCGTTTTATCTAAGTATTGTTTTATTATACGACAAAATAAAAAAATACGTGTCTAATATTTTTTCATTACCTAACTTACGGACTAATTATATTTTTAATTTTCATACCCTGTCATCATCCCCATTTTGTCAGTGGTGTCTAAATAATATTAGACGCGTATTTTAAATTCTTTCTCGTCTTAAGTATATTTCATACTGATACTATCGCAATTTTAAGAATTTTTAACAAGAAAATAGAAAACTAAATGTATGGGAATGACACTGACAACCGGTTGCCGGGGCTCCAGCTCGAAGAGCAGGAGTAGAAACGGAATGGTTTTCAGTTAGTAAGAGTCCGACACTCCCTCTCGCCTTACCCAAGGCGGGAGAAGTCCCTTTAAAAAGTGTTAAAATGCACCTCAGACCCGTAAAATTTAGTTTTCTACTCTCTCGGTAGACAAGCGCTAAATATTATTTGGCTATCAACACTGACAGTACACTGACAGACAAAATACGTGTCTAATACTTAAAAAAAAAACGTTATTTCATTATTCACGATAATTCACGAAGTTTATATTAACCTAAATAGGTTTTACATCATTCCTTTTCATTTATTTATGCCCAAAATAAAGGGGAGTACAATATTCAGTGGAGTATGATATGATAAATGTTGTAATTACTACCACCTGGGTGCTACACCCAGGTAAGTCCGGGACGTTCAACAGTACATAGCTCAAACGACTAAATGAAATTAAAACTTTATATAATGTCAATAGAGTCGACTTTTAATTGTAGTTAACTTTGAATGTTTTTTTTTCACATATAATTATGTATGGCAGTTTGTAACACTTAGTGTGGATGAAACTTTTTTATTTAATTTATTGATACGATTTTAGACTGGCAGCTAAAGTAAGAGTATAAGGGCTATATTTCAGAGGAAAACCATGAGGCCGTAACTGTCGCCGCGACCACTAAAATGTATACAGCTCTGTAGACATTTATTTACCTGTTGCTCACTTGGTTGCGCTACCAATCTCGCGACCAGTTCAAATGGTACGACGCTGGTCGCGCCACCACTATTTATTATAGCGCTTCAGTGTGTGTCAGTCACTCGCTAACGGTGGCGCAACTGGATGCACCGCCATGGTGTCCCAGTGAAATATAACCTTAAAAATAGATTGTTTTTGTCTTAATGTTAATTGATAAACCAAACTGTCACATGATCACTCATTTTGAAACTAAGACAGCTATCTATATAAGATTTTAAAGTAGCAATACAACCATATACAGCTTGAAGCTTCAAAATAGTAGGATATTAAATTATGTTGCTAGGTTACTACCTATTCTGCTCGACTGCTATTGATCGTAGCGTAATGTTAGTAGTCCCTAACTAAAAATCGCGGCTGACTCACGTGAAAGTACTGAGAAAAGCTCTACTAGTTTTGAACCACAGGTTTTGTTCATGAGGAATAACCCCTCTGTGGTTCGAAACTAGTTGAGCTTTTCTCAGTACTTCCACGTGGGTAACCCACACTTTTTAGTTATTTAGTATGTCTCACGATAGTTATTCTATAGCTTTCCTCGATAAATAGGCTATCCATATCTACTAGCGCGTTCAAACAAATAAACAAACTGTAATAGTATAAGGCAGTGACTGCTGGACGTCCCTATAGCTTAAGTTTTTATGTTGCCAGGGTGAAGACATGTTTAGCTATAGATATATATTTAAACAATTTGGATAAGTGATATGTAGTTACATTTTCATACGACATATTGTGATCTTTATCTTATATATGGACGGTAGAAGTAAGGACAATCGCGTTGAAAAAGTGCCCGTCGAAATTCGACCTGCACAGGTGTCGCTACTGTAGAAAATGAGTCATTTCAAAGTGTATATCGGCCAAAATTAATTAACAATCTCAACGTGTATGAATAAATGGTATTTGTTTTCTTTTAATTTCTTTGTTTTTAAACTATTTGGATTTTAATCGATTTTTGATGTAAGTCCTGTTTTGATTTTCCGTCAAAAATCTTGAGTGATCCAAAGATTTGGAGATGGGTTCTTAATTTTGGTCATATAAGTGTACTTTGTGAAGTAAACAAGGATTTTAACCACACAAATAGTGGAGTGGTATTCGCTGTATTTAGTACCAGTTTTTAACCTGCTACACTAGCGCTGTTGGACATTTTTTCGACTTATCTTCCACATGAGGGTGTGTCCCATACCTCTATCGTCCATAGTTTTTTATAGTAAAAAAGTTGCTCAAAGATTGGAGCCAAATAATGTTTTAGCAGTAGTGTAATACTCCAACTTTTAATTTAATAGTCTCATGATATTTTTAGAGACTAATGTCTAAATACTCAAACGCCACTCGATTTTAAGTCGCGCTTTAGTATAGTTCTGTCCCTACAAATTATTTGTAAAATGACAGAGACGGCACGATATTTAAGTACAACTTAAAGTTGCGTAGCGTTTCAGTATTCGGGCGTGAATCACAAAAAAATATTATTGAAATAATTGGCAATTTTTTTTTGTAGCCAAATTATTGCATGCACCTGTAAGTTGAGTAGTATTGGGTTATTGTTTAGTGTTTACGTATATTTCTGAGAATATTTCTCTATTAGGAGTCTGGAACTATGCCCGATGCATAACGACAGGTTGGTGCAGTGCTTGGGCAACCGGCTGCCGCGCAACGTGTCGCGGGTTCGATCCCCGCACGGAGCAACTCTTTGTGTGATCCACAAATTCCTGGTCTGGGCGTCATGTGTATGTGAACTTGTATGTTTGTAAATGCACCCACGATACAGGAGAAAATCCTAGTGTGGCGCCACATGTTCATAAACCAATAATAAATTGTCTTGCCCACTTGCACTGATGGTACTTGTAACATAAATGCGTTTTAGATTGTATAATAACATTAATATACGCAGGATAGAAGACGTGTTACATAGTAATTCTTGTAAAATATATAAAAAACACTAAACAATACGCCTGTAACAGTCGACCGCACACCAATAGAAAACCTCCAATTACATATTATTTTTTATTTCTTAAGTAGTAAGCACTATTTTTGCTTAATTTATGTTCTAATGATGTGCGATCGACTGTATCTTGCTTTTTGATCTGTGATGTGCAAGCTATAGAGAACGAATGTTTATTTTGTATATATTGTGACTTTAAATTTATCAAAATATTGGAGTAGTTTTGAATGGGTCTTGTGATCTCATGATTACAAATTGAATGCTTGTATGCAGATATTTTACTGAAGACCAGTTTTAATATAAAAAATCGTTCTCAAAATTTACTTAATTTGTGAAATTTTGACATAGGTAATGTATCAAAATGGGGCCTACCGTTTTTCCTAACCCCAAATGGCGCTAATTTAGCATTGGTCAGTTTGTCTAATCACTGTAGATGTCAAAACTGGAATGATGTGACAGTAGGTAATTCCCTATTGGATGTATAATCGGAAAGGTCACACTAGCTCCATCTGGTGAATATAAAAACAGTAGCTCTGTTATGCTTATTAGAGATAGAATGATATCTCTAATAAGCATAACAGAGGCCTTATTACAGGTATGTTTTACGTTTAAAGTTATCGAAACAAGACCGCGTTCGCCGCTCGGATTAGTTGGTTCACTGGACCCGGCCAATCTGACTGCCAATCACGAATAACTATAGCATTCGTAACGTAATAGTATCGAACGCGTTCGGCGCTCTGATTGGCCGGCTCAAGTGAACCAACCAATCAGAACGCTTAATGCGCTCGATACGGTTACGATACGATACGATAATGTGTGAGTAAGACGTGTGCATACAAGCTCTTCTGTACATGGCATTTGTATCTGATATGTATGTGTATGGCTGGCCATTATCCGACTCATAAGAGTCTAAAATTATTCCTTTTTGTACTGCGTTAAACTTAAGTTGACAAATAGTATGTAGACCTTTTGTTTCCCATATAATGATAAAAGGGGACAGAAGTAAGATTGATTAAAACAATCTTGAAATATTTTGCGTTTTATTTTTCAAATTTTACACTAAACTAAGCTTCCACTAGATACTATTCTCATTTAAGAATCTGTTCAGCTTCCTATAATGCAGGATACTAATGCCTGTATTCACTTACCTCTCCTTCATTATAAGGAACCCAGGCTAAGAAACACATCAACCTAAAAGTGACAACTAACAGTACAAGATAGGGGTTAAGTTGGGGGCTGCGTCACGCTTAGTAACGTTTAGTTAAGTGACAGTTTTGATCTGAACTTCTGTGGTGTTGCGGGTGTTCATTGGGGGCGCTGATCGCTTACCGTCAAGTATCCGTCTGCTCGTTTGTCTCCTGTTCCATATGTTTTTATTGCACAACAAATTTAAACTAATTCCTAAGAAGCCATGTACAAAATATGATAAGAATCCGCTTAACCATTTCAAAGATCTAGCAAAATCAAAAACGTTACCCCAGCGAAATCTCGAATAACTTTGCAACCGATGAAAGAACAAATACAAAATAAGGCACAACATTTACTTCATCTAGACATTCAACTAATTTTGTAGCTAGTAATTATATAAATATTCCCATTAGAAAGAGAAGCGTCTGGCTGGGGTAACGTTACCCCAGCAGGAAATGTTTTTGTGAAATAATTAAAAAACTATAAGCGCAACAAATTTAATAATGTGCGCAACAATTACAGAAGCCGCACAACTAATATCTGTAAGATTCAAATGACCATTTTCGTGGCCTGGGTAATGGACACAAAAATTAGGCAACTTGGAAAGACGTATCTAATTACAATATAGATTTATTTAAATTTCGATTTGACGCACGAGTATTTTCGAGCATTTTTTTGAGGAGAAAATCTTCTTCCCGCCCGGATAAGGCGGGAGGGTGTGTCATACTCTTACTGACTAAAAACCACCCCGTTCCTACATCTCCAATTTGAGCCGGACTCCCGGCAACCCTAGGTCCTCCGCGGCTCTGTATTTTCCATAAAAGTAATTCTAGTACCTTGCTTAGATCCCTTTTCCGAAAATAAAACAAGAATAGATGCAATAATACAATATCTATTTATAGTTCACTTACATATTAAAATCTTATATAATATCGAAAGTAAAATTGTAGAAAGTAGTTAGTCAAAAGTTTTAAAACAAAGAAAATACTTAACTTAAAGGCACAAAAAAATAGAATGCAGGTGAAACACTCCCGAAAACGCAGACAGGTGATAGTAAATAACTATTGTTTATGTAAATTACTTGTAAACAACTGCTCAAGGCATCAGTTGCATCAATTTAACACGAAAACACTAATGTATAAAAAATAAATTGTGAAGATTGTCTGTGTTTTCGTTAACGGTAAAACAGGGTAAATAGATACAGAAGAGAAATATTGAGAAAATGTTCTAATATTTATTCACGCCAATCCTGTATCTATTCACCCCTTGAATTCTATTCACGCCGTTTTACGGTAGCATTCTGTTAACACCCTGTACTTATAATATAATAATAATAATAATCAATACTAAAAGACTCAAATTAAAAACGTTTTTCGAAGACTCAACGCTGAAATACTCAATTTTAAGTCGCGCTTAAGTGTGACACTTCTGTAACTACAAATTTTTAGTAAAATGACAGAGATGGTACGATATTCAAGTACAACTGAAAATTCAGTAGCCTTTCAGTATTCGGGCGATTCAGTAGTAACAAAATTTATGGGCTGTCTCAGGGTTAACGGTTACCGCAGATTATGCACATTCTCCTGAGAGGATCACGAGTGAGTTGCTGATCATCCGATGTGGACTCACCCTTATTTACAAGTGTACCAAACACCTAAACGCTGAAAGGCGACTCAATTACCGCTCTCCGCGAACTATATTATAGACCTTATTTCCGACGTTTAGAGACTAATTTTATATGAACAAATTTAGGGGATGATATTTCAACAGGTTAAAGGTAGCGTTTGATTATTTCGACATTTACTATTTTTACTGAGTCATAATCCCTATTGTAAATTATCGACGTCAACAACATACTTTATTTATACTCGGAATTTTAATTCGATTCCAGATTTGACAATTTCAGTGTGGCAACGTTATGACAAGTACTAAATAGTGACGTTGCGAAATTATTCGATATGGAAATGCAATATTTCTGGATCGATTCTTCTCGTTTATAATAATTATAATGTTAGAAGCATAGACAAAAAGGAACGAAATGTCATCGCGTAGCGGGAAAATATAATCTGTGGTTCGAACAAAAAAAAAGTCAAGATGGCGGGAACTCGGAAATTATTGAGACGGTGTATTTGGTGTTGAGGGAATTTTATTCTATTTGAAAGTCAATTTGCCTATTCATGTGTTATTGTTGTTGTTTTTCTTTCCAATTAATAGTTATGGTTTAGCTAGTTCTGAATTTGTAATTTGATTTCGATGTTAACAATATAAGGTGAATTCATGAATTGTAATGGTGGTACTCTTTATTTCTCCTGCCTCCTGAGTTTCTAAAATCCAATGTGGTATAAAACAAATAAGTTACTAATATCAAAGAGTAAGGTGAACTCTATGACAGTTTTTAAGTTTTCTAATAATAATTATAATTTTACTCTCGTGAACTAAGTATATCAGGATATTAAATATTTCTGAACTGATAATTTAGTTTTGCCGATTATTTATTTTATGATTATTGATTAATTAACGATCTGAGACGTGTCTGTTATAATTGTGTGTGAAATAAATAAAAAAATGTAATCATGAAGGAACATGACAAATAAAACAGATAGATGTATTATGGTAATAAGTTATTTTATAAATTGTCGCCGTCATCGCTATCGCTATCCTGTCACTTTCTGTAACATTTATTATAAAACACACACACTGATTGTTTATCGATTTTTGTGTGCATCACTACGCTATTATATGTGGTATCATTATTTCACAAAATGACAGTAGCTATTGTCAAATCTGGAATCTAATTAAAATTCTGACTATAGTGCTTAAAGAAAATAAAAGTAAAAATATTATTAAGAAACAATAAGTTCAACGCCAAACACCACATCTGGTTTAATTTCCGTATCTTTTGTCTAATTGGAGAATAATTTTCATTTATTTTTCATATGAAACGAGTGAAAATATGCATCAATTAAATACGGAAAATAAATCAGTAATGGTGAAACAAATGCTAAAGAAGAGACATAGATACCATTTTAATGAATCGTAAGACAACTAAAATTATAAAGACATAATTGTAATTGATTTTTAACATTATAACTGTCCTTTTGATTTCTTTATATAGGGTCTTATACACCTACTTATTTAGGTATTTTAAAAGACAATTTTGGTTTAAAACATGTTGAAAAGTCTTCTTATGGCCATAGCTTCAAATGCCTTCTCTAATTTATAGTTTTGTAAACCTGGTAGACGTGTAATCAAACGTTGTTCCCCTTTTCTCCTGTTGTCGTGGTGGTCCGAGCACTTCAAGTGCTTTTCCATGTCTGCCCAGCCGTTCATGACCAGCTCACAGTACGCACAGTGGTATAAGCCCGGATGAATCTGAGAAATTAACACGAAATTACGAAAATAATCTTATTCTTCCCACTTTTTAAATCTTATTTATAGTTTGTTTGTTTGTTTGAATGCGCTAATCTCCGGAACTACTTAAATTTAAATAAATATTTTGTGTTAGATAATGCATTTATCAAGGAAGGCTATAGGCTACATAACATCATGCTGCTATCAATAGGAGCCGCGCAAGACTAGCTCGTTATTCATAAGCAGCTACATACTACAAGCTGAAAGGAAACATAGGGACTAAGGACCATGAAACACGCCGTCAATGATTTAAAAGTTTCAATATTGAGCTGACTTACCTCTCTAATAAATTCGTTATCCACCGACACAATGACTGGGACTTCAAGGAATTTAGTGATGTGCCTTCTTGTCTTAATATGATCATCTGTGTCAGAAAACGGGGGTAATGTCACTTCGCATAGTAGGCACCTCATCCTCGAATTGATTGCCGTCAAAAATACTAAACTGTTTTGGGTGACACAGTATTCCTCATTAATAATGGAAAGGTTATCGAACAGGCTTTTGACATCGTAAAGTGAATCAATAAAATCTCCAGTTTTCTTCTTTATTAGCATTGTAGGACTTTGTATTTGGCACTTGGGTGTCGGAGAGGAGCCAGAGAGTTTCTTGTGATTCGCTCCTGCAACATGCTCCTTCATCGAATTCAAGTTAGCCGGCAAGTGAACCTCACAGACTCGACAATACGACTGCTTGTTATTCTGATTGTAAGTTATTTTATTCATTTTTGCATATTCCTTTTCGTTTTCAACCATCTCATCGCTGCTGTATCCGTCTACGTCTGATTCAACCTTTTCATTTGAATTCTCTTGCAATGCTTTTATTTTGCTCTCAATTTCATCATTTATTTCGGACCGCTGTGCAGTCTTGTCGTTTATGTCGATTCTATTCAAATTTTGGTCCGGATTTGAAGGATATTGCAAAGTAGTATCAACTGGTGCGTTTGTGGAATGGTCAGTTATATGCTTTTCTATATTTGCACAGTTGAATTCAACTACTTCAGAGCATTTTTTACAGTAAGCCGTTTCTCTTTCCAAATTAATATTGATTCCTGCGCTTTGATACTTTGTTAACGATTCAAGTATTTTAGTTTTGCTTTCGGCGGATTTATTTGCGTCGATGTTCGATTGTTTTAATCCACCTTTAAACTCAATAGTTGGTGAACCTTCAGCTGTCTGATGTTCTTCCTTTATGGCTTTGGCTTCTGTTTCGTGACCTATTCCGTTAGTAAGGATGTGACATTTGTAATAAAGTTCGCGATGCTGAGCGTCATCGAAGTGTGCGGTTAACTTATCGGGAACCAGCAACTTGTTGCAAGTTAAACATTGCAGAGAAGTGTCGTCTATCTGGAATTGAGAAACATTTCCTTCATTTGTGCATTGCGCATTGTTAATTGTTACACCGATTAGCGATAAGTTAAGACTACTGATGTTATTTTCAAATAAATTTACTATATTCTAGAAAATGAGACAAGAGGGTTTTTAAAAAAATCTCAGTAGTAGGACGGAGTCTGGAATTGTGCCCGATATATGGCAATAGGCTCACCCACTATTACATGGGACTCATAACATAATAGTGAAAAGTGGGTGTTACATTGTACAGTGGTATAATGTGCACCTCTGCCTACCCCTTCGGGGATAAAAAGACGTGATGTTATATGTTATGTGAGACAAGAAATTAAGAACACGATTTAGGCAATTTAAAATAAAGGTGGTAAACTTAAGCAGTCACATTACAGAAAAATGGCCAGAGCATTTTAGCGAGCTATCATGCGTTCTGGCTAGCATTCTGACGAGCATTTTATTCTAACGAGTGCGTCAAGTCGACTACAGCTTTCGGTAGAGTGAGAAAACGTTCTGCTGCGAACGTTTTGGCTCTACGACTAACTTGGCTAATTATGCAATTCGACTTTAAGAGCGCGAATAGTCTAAGAGCTTTTACAAGTAAATTCTCAGGTCACTCCTAATTTATTATTATAAAAATTCAAATATTTTACTTGCACAAATTCGGAGGTAGGAATTCGTTAGCACTTACCTGACGATAGATGGCATTGCCAGTACCAAACCGAATTTCTTTCAAGACGATATTCAAAGAGTGTTTCGCGGACGCTTTGTGCTCCTCGCCTTCATCAAATTCTTCATTGCAGATTGAACAAACACCATCAATAAGGCTATGCCATGCGTTTTCTTCTATAAAAATGTTGTCAAAAGCCACAACACCACCTCCCCTTGGCAGCAGAAGGCAAAGTCCCTTGTTCGTAACATGCTCGTCTTCAGTTAAATGAAGATTAACTTTGGAAGCAGTCGGGAGCAGTATGTTGCAAAACTCGCAGTAGTAACCCGTTTGGAACTGCAACATTCATGCAAATGTTCAAAATAAAACACACAAACACAAATACACATCACGCTATTCCGTTAATTGGATATTTGAAGGGAGGTCCAGTTTTCGGTGTGCGTTACCCAGACCATGGTCATTTGAATCTTATAGATACTTCATCTAGACAACTTATGCTATAGCTAGTAATTATTTAAATATTCCCATTAGAAAGAAAGAGGTCTGGCTGGGGTAACGTTACCCCAGCAGGAAATGTTTTTGTAAAATAATTAAAAAACTATAAGCACAAAAAATTTAATGATGTGCGCAACAATTACAGAAGCCGCACAACTAATTATCTATAAGATTCAAATGACCATTTTCGACAACATCTGGCCTGGGTAACGCACACCAGTTTTCGGTGTAATTATTTAGATTGGGTCAACAACAAACTGGGCACTGGGCCTTAGAATTCAGGGTTTTCACTTATATGTATTTCACGTGAAAATTAATTACATAATCAACTAATTAAACCTAATCAAGTCCAGTCACTGTCAAGTTATAACTGAAGTTGTAAGTTATAAATTTTCAGAATTTTCTTTTAGGTACCTATTTTATACCTTATAAACAAACACTAACCTTTCTTATGTGTTCCTCTTTAAATTTATCTAAGTACGGGATTGCGAGAAGGCTCTTCTGATGAGGAGACGTCCCTACATGTTGGTCAGCTTCTTGGTGAGTCATCAAGAAGGTGTCACATGCCAGGCAGTAGCAGTTTAATGATCCAGTGAGGACCCCGCTTTTATGCAGTTTGTACAACATGGTGATCTGAAAGTGAAAAGAAATATGCGTAGGTACAATGCGCCTTTAAGGGGAACGTTATTTTTCGAATAAAGTGTTGACGAATCGAGTAATAGAAAGTCCACAGAAAGCAGGATGCGCGACATCGCCGCGACCGAGCACGCTACTCATGAGTAAGAACCCCTTTGAGGTACGAAACTAGTAGAGCTTTTCTCAGTATACTCACGTGAGTAACCCGCGATTTTTAGTTAATCGACAGAAAGTTATTTTTCATTCTTTTTACAAGCTTTAAAGTAGCATGCAGTGTAGAGGTTCGAAATTTTGTAACAAAATTTTGAAGCAGATATCTTCAACCGATTGAGATGTATACATGTTAAGTTTGCATGACCATTAATTATTATTTATATAATTTTCAGCCGTGATTGTCCCCTCCTTCCAGAAACAACTATACATTACAATAAATGCTTAACTTAAAAGCTTGTCGCGAGATTAAAGTACACCTAAGCATCCCGTATTTATTTTAAATATGTATTGCTTATATGGGTGTTTGTTTAAGGTAGCATCTTTAAAAGAAAACTAAGTAGGGATAAAATTAAAAATAAGAGAGGGCCGAGGGACAGCTTTCACTGCCGCATACATGGTCCGTACTTAGCTCACTGTCATTTATAAACAACTGGTAGGAAGTATGTCTAACCCCTAATTGATTAAGTATAAGGTGCACAGAATAGAATACATTTTTTATTTATTTAATTACATAGGATCTCCAACAAAAGATGTGCACAACACATGCCATGTAAATTATACTAAATTTTAGGTTAGGTAAGTACAGTCGATTAAAGGAAATCACAATATGCACGTTATTTATCGACTAAATTAATAACATAAACATTAAAATATGCAGTTGAGATAAATTGAGATAAATGACAACTTGTAATGGTTCACAAAAATAAAATAAAATACAACAATACCTACACACGTATTTTAAAACAGTACCAACAATAAGTTGCTTAATAAGAACAAATTTGACGGCCTTGTGCAATTTTGTGGCATTAAATAATTAAAAATTGGTAAATATTTTATTTTATTAATATCCAATATATATAAATTTATTTAAAAAAACTCATATACACAAGTGTAACAGATATAATCCTTTAACAACCAAACCTACACGTAAAACAAGCAAAACTATAATAAACCAAAGGCATAAAAATCTTCAATGAGTCCAGTGATCCTTTTCCTTAACAGAACAGCTGTGTCATCGTGGATCTCATAAAAACTATCTGCTAATGCCTCCGTGTCCGATTCGAAGAAGTCCTTGAATTTCGCTGCCTCCTCGGAGTTTGCAATCATGATATTAGAGACGAGTAGGCAACTCCCAAATCCTAATTTTCCGTATCTTTTTAAATCAGCATCTAATAGCTCTCTGGAGTACACACGGTTAGCTTTCAGACCATAATTGGACAACGACTTATCTAACTCTAGGTGATAGTAATCCAACCAATTGTGATAGTTTTTCCTCCTGGATTCTATGTCTGTGCAGTTAAATATCATGTACAAGAGATCAGTTGCAGGACTTGAGATTTTAGAGAGTTGATAGTCGATCAATATTGACTGGTCCAATTCGTCACCCTGAAATTATTAAACGAATGTGAAACAAATGCATTTACGCTTATCATCTTATCAAGGTGTGTGTCTGGAAATTTGGATTTAATTGAAATGATGAAATTAGTAGACATCTTAAATCATTTATATGCTGTAATTAATTTTAGTCGCAATAAATTACCAAATAATATGTATTGATTCGGTTGGTAGTTGGATCTCGATGACCTTTTATAAAGAAGGTTTGAGCATTAATCACAACGCTTGCTCAATGGGGTTCCAAAGTTTCCTCACGATGATTTCCTTCATCGAACGAAGTCAGTGGTGTTTAGATAATCTTAGAAAGTACATATAACTCAGAAAAAAAAACATTAGTACTTGCTGTTGGTAAGTTTCGAAACGACACCCTCATGCATGAGAAGCGGGCGTCTCAAACCTCCGGGCTACCACCGGCCATACATTTTTTTCAATATTAAATTTTAATTATCCGCCGACGCTTGGTCCATGCCCTTGCCATACAATTGGTTTTTCAGGGTCCATATTCAACTTCTGAAGCTCCAATTATACAATTTCATTAAAAGACCGAATAAGTACTTACTTTAAACTTGAACATAAAATTTGTAGTCCATGCATCACCATGATGTATGACTGCATATCTACTAGCAGCTTCTTTTACTGACATTTTAGCATTTAGTGGCCCGAGTTGACATATTTTGTGCTTTATCAAGTTCTTATACTCCTCATTATCCACTGCACCCATGTAAAGTTGTTCTATGGATTCCAAAGAAGCCAGGTCTTCCGGAGGCGCATTTACTAACGCTGCCCACATATTTTTCAAATTGTCCTTGAAGTAATTGAAGGTTTCTGGCTCCTTGTTCTTTAATACATATGAGAGGGAATGAAATACAGCCAAGTTCTTCAGTACGCTGGTCACACATTCTTCTGATAGGGGTTTCAGTCTATCCATCATAACAAAACCATCTTCTTTGAGATCTTCCAGAAGAATCACTTCGTTAGGCGCCTCAACATTCGATCCATAGCATTTTGGAAACTTTAGGATTTCATCTTCAGGTATGTCTGCTTGTTTCTGTAGTTGTGTCAACTTTGGTAAGAATTTTTTATACATTATGTGTTCATTGCCGAATGTGAAGGGAGCGTTCAGACGGAGTCGCATGTTTTCATTACTTGGTGCTATCTTTGCAATCATCGCCAGCTTCCCGTTGTCTCCTTCTATGATTATTCTCTTCACTGTTGCAGCATAATTGTCTCCAGCTGCTCCAACTGCTTCAAATGTCACTTTGCTTTCCTTAAACCCAAGGTCTTCGATGGCACTTCTAATAAATTCCAACTGACAGTCATTAACGTTTGAGATATTGCCTTCAAAGTTATGATGTGCCATTGTGACCGAATAATTAGCAGGACTAAAACGATTTATAATGATTTGTTTAATATATATGTTTCTATAACAGGATTATCTTTATGATTAGATAAATTATTGAAAGAGAGATTGAAGTTATTATTATTTATACTGATGTAATGTTAGTTTATTCTTTGCTACTTCTGCACGCTTTCACACGCCCTGATCACCTCCTATCGATCGCAGCGTGATGTTATGTACCCTATAGCCTTCCTCTATAAATGCACTATCTAACACAAAAAAAATATTTCAATCAGACCAGTAGTTCCGGAGATAAGCACGTTCAAACATACTATTATACATTTTTTTATGGTATAAATCGGTAAACGAGCAGACGGATCACCTGATGGTAAGCAATCGTCGTCGCCCATGGACACCCAAAACACCAAAGTTGTTACAAGTGCCTTATCGGCCTTTTAGGAATTAGGCAATTGAGGATTATAGAGAATATATAGTATAAAATGAGTGTCACTGGACGATAGACACAATGATTCTAAGATTACTTTAATTAAGAAAATCTGGATTTAGAAAATGCAATACGTAGATAGTCTAAATAAGCAAATAAGGCGGGCGAAATACATTATGATACAATATTTTGCTCAGTGTAAAAATATCTAGAATGTCATCATCATAATTAATGTTTTATCTATTTTTCTTGTGCACACGGCCACACATCAATCTATACTATTAAACCAGTTTATCCTGATATCGCGTCGCATCATCTTTCCGCATATTTAACGTTCAGTTAATACTGGTTACCTAAAGCTCGATGTGTAGTGTGTACCTAACATCCCTACATAGTAGTTTCCACAGTAGTTAATCCTTCGAGTAGTTCCAAGAGTATACTATGAGATATAGGATTCGATCTTGGGCGTGGACATTGTATTTTGAGTCTTAATTTAGTTTACTTAGCCTCAGCTTTAGATTTCTGATTTTCTGCCGACAAATTCGATATCTGGCATACCTACTAATGAATGCGCTTCAGGATGATGAAATATATTCATTAACTTTAGTTATTATTTTGTTATTTCATAAAGTTTATCTTATCAATCAACCAAAATTAATGATGATAACGCATTTTTGTTACTGATAACAATAGGGTAGTTTACTTTATTATATTGTCCGTCTCGTAGATTTATTTAACTCTTTGAGTACCGTCATTATAGACACAATTAAAGAACAATAGGTTGCGGTCACCGGTGTCCTCGCGGTGTACATTGAACACGTATTATTCTTTTCTCATAATATATATATATTTTCAAAGATACATTAATTTGAAATTACATGTGACTCCTAAACTTAAACTCCATTTTATCTAAGTACCGACCCGACACACTTTGTATCGCCAAAAACTTTTTTTTCTCGCCTTTTAAACCTTTCCTGGACTTCCACGAACATTTCAAGACCAAAATAAGCCAAATCGGTTCAGCCAGTCCTGAGTTTTAGCGAGACTAACGAACGAAAATTCATGTTTAATTATATATTATATACTAGCGGACCCAACAGACGTTGTCCTGCATATCCACTTGAATGTATAAACAAAATTCATTCAAATTAGTTCAGCTGTTTAGGATAAATAACCTAAACATCGACTGCAGCGCCATCTGCCGGGCTGATTTGTGAATCTAAACCATTCCCAGATCACCTTGAATACACACAAAAAATTTCATCAAAATCGGTCCGTTCGTTTGAGATAAGTTCAGTGACATACACACTCACAGAAGAATATTATACCTATATTTAAAGATAGTAACGTTATAATTACGAGAAAATAAAAAATATACATGTCTAATCTTTTTTAATTATCTAACTGACGGACTAATTAGAAATTAGATATTTCATTTTCATACCCTTTCAACTACTCTATTATTTAAAGTTGCATTTATTCTTTGCAAACTTTATGCGCTATTAAATTTACCAACTTAGAAATATTCATCACCATTTTTCATTGTTTTACCGAAATGTAGGTAATGGTACCACAGTTTATTAGAACGAAACTTTGATTCATGAATACATAAACGTAACATCACGCCTTTTATCCCCGAAGGGGTAGGCAGAGTTGTACATTACGGTACTTAATGCCACTGTACAATGTAACACCCACTTTTCCACGAAATATAGAATACAATCTATATTCCGTGCACATTTCACTATTTAAGTATGTCATGAGTCCCACGTAATAGGGGGTGAGTATATTGGCATATACCGGGCACAACTCAAGACTTCGTGCTACTACAGAGAATTGAAAAAGACCCAATAATACTTTACCCGACGCGGGAATTGAACCCGAGTCCCCTTGCCCGGCTGTCGTATTTGCGACCACTTGACCAACGATGTGATTCGTAAATAACCTACGAATATTATAAAGGCGAAAGTTGTGGGGATGTATGTATGTATGTGTGTGTGTAAGTTATTCTTTTACGTCTGAAACGGCTGAAGGGACTGGGATGAAATATGAAACAGGGGTAGGTAATGGTCTGGAATTAGGGTTGCCACCCGTACTTTATAATAAAGTTTTGTACGTTATTTAAGGCAATTGTACTCTATACTTTATAAGAATAATAGAGTACACGAAAATAATTTATTTTTGCAAACTTCATTTCTATTAAAGTCGTAAGTATTTTTCGGTAAACTTATCGATTCGATGACGACATTTATCGATTTATGTTGAAGCGATTTCGCCACTCGCCAGCGCCACTTAGACAATTTCTAGTAAAGGTAAAGATGCAATTGTTTAGTAAAGATACTAATTTAATACAAACTGTATAAATAAAAAATATTTTTTTAAATGTAATACTTACTAAATCAGAATAAATTGTACTTTATTTTTGTACTATGTTCTTTTTTCTTATCTATAATCGTCAATGTATTTTAAATACCGAAAAAAGTTGGCAACCCTATCTGGAATACCACATAAGCTACAATATCCTACAGGAACGCGGGCGAAGCCGGTAGTAGAAGCTAGTACATAGATTAATAAATACTTTGTAACAAGCTACTGGCTAGTTTATTTTCAACATCCTTCCTTATCACAAAGCACAATGATTTGTAACAGTGAACAGTTAGAAAATGAGTAATGATATAAGTAGGTATGTACCTAAAAACAATTACTATGTATGTTGTATTATTGTTGCGAATTCACAGAACTTTGAATTACATTGTAGGTATAGTATGTATATTTGCGGAGGACTTAACGGGTTACCGGGGCTCCGGCTCGAAGTGCAGGAGTAGGAACAGGGTGGTTTTTAGTCAGTAAGAGTCTGACACTCCCGCCCGCCTCACCCAAGCGGGAGAAGTCATTCTATAATTTTATAGGTATGTATGTATAGGTCGTATAGTAGTGTGTATAGTATGTGGGTACGTATTTTTAAGTATTTTAGCTCCCTAAATATTAAAATACTCCAATGATTCCTCCTGGCTTTTTTATGGGATAAGCCAGTGAACGAGCAGACGGATCACCTGATGGTATGCAATTGGCGTCGCCCATGGACACCTGAAACACCACAGGCGTTACAAGTGCGTTACCGGCCTTTTGGGAATTTGAGGATTGTGGGGGATTCGCGGATTGGGGACGGGGGTAATTGGGCCTCCAGTAACCTAAGTCACATGACGAAACAACAAAAGCGTTGTTTCATGACGGTTGTCTGTTAGTGTTAGGCCGTGGTATCACTCCGGTTGAGCCAGCCATTCCTGCCGAAGCATGGCTCTCTCACACTTAGTATATACAGGGTGTCCCTGAAGTCGACGATCAAACAAATGGCACCCGGTGATCGGCATGGTTCCTACAGTTATAATAAATATATTTAAAAATTCCAAGTAAAATAGTCTTTAAATTACAATGACTTCATTTGTATTGTAACTTTCGTGAGACATACTAAATTAATTATTATTTTCGACTTACACACGTAATAATTTGACGAGGAACTCGACTAATTTACTAGTCGAAATGCTGCTCATGAATATGAGCTTCTGGCATGGCTTGAAACTAGTCGAGTTCCTCGTCAAATTATTACGTGAGTAAGCCGAAAACATAATAATGTACTTATTACAATGACTTATGTGTTATTCACGAAAAAGTACACCTGTGCTAGTCTTTTGACTCTTGTTGCTATAATTCTTTATTTTTTCCTCTCTATTTTTGGTTACGTTATCCTGAATAATCTATATATATAAAAGAAAGTCGTGTTAGTTACACCACTTATAACTCAAGAACGGCAGAATAGATTTGGCTGAATATTGGTAGGGAGGTAGCTTAGAGCCAGGAGACCGACATAGGATACTTTTTAACCAATACTTTTTTTTTACTTTTTACCGAAAATCACGAACGGGGACGGGAAAAATAGGATTACGCGTATGAAGTCGCGGGCAGAAGCTAGTGCTTTAATATTATTAAATCATAAATTCTGAGCTAACTGTTTTAGTTTGAAAAAGAATGTCTCTTTTTGACGAACCAAGTGTTTGTATCTCGAAAGTATAAAAAAAAATATTATATAGAACCAAGTGTTCTTAGTAAATTATTCCTTACTTTAAGTGACTGTACTGAAAAAAATTTGTACTGCGGTAGTAGTGGTAAAATTTCACCAAAGTTGACCCATTTAATAAGGATTCTAAAATTGTATACTGAATGGTACATTATTCTTTAAATTCGATCCAAAAAAATATTTTTCAGCCAAAACTCCGTTTAGAACAATTCATTTGGATTTACTATGACTAAAATTGTAGTATTAAGTAGGTATGTACCTATCATACGTATAGATAGATATAAATAAAAATGCAGTAAGTCCATTGTCACCTTTTAAATTACGATATGCAATAAAACCGGAAAGACCCGGCGTCGTTATCTAGGTACCGGGTAGTTTCAAGTACCTACCGAAGTACCGATACTTCAAAATTTATAGAGCATTTATTTTTCCAGTGCATATGGATTGCATTAATAAAATTATAATGAGTAATCGCAAGTAAATATACATAATATGGTTATGATGGAGCACGCCTACCCTATGGGAGCAGTCATACGATGATTTTCCCCCCTTAAAAAAATGGTGTCTCAACATCAGATGATCCGTTTATTCAATTATCGCCCTATTCCATAAAACAGACTTTCTTTTTAAGTGAAATAATACCAACCACATAACAACAAGAACGTGGCGATTACATGACTCTATCATATCGTTTTTTCCTTTCTTGTTTATTAACGGGGCGTTTTCTTAACGTCTTTAATCCTCGATTGTGAAAAATCCACAACCTTCGTTCATACAAAAGTATTCTCTAATTATCGGAAATAAGAGCTATAATAGACAAGTGGAGAACGGTCACCGGTGACCGCTCTCCACTCATTTGCGGACTGAGCATTAAGAACCGTAAACGGGGTGAATAGAATTCGAGGGGTGAATAGATACAGGAATGGGGTGAATAAATATTAGAACATTTTCTCCAAAAATTCTATTTACCCCGTTTTACCTAAAATCGTGATTAAAGTGCATATTATAGGTAAAATACCTTCGTATGTGATAAAGATATTTTCTTAAATATTTGAATGCACGGGTGGCGCGGTGGCTGGGCAAATGGCTGCCGAGACGGCGAGCAACATCTAGCAGGTTGGATCCCGCATGGAGCAATTCCTTGTGTTTCCAGAAATTACTGTTTCCAGTCTGAGTGTCATGTGTATGTGAAGTTGTATGTTTGTAAACGCACCCACGACACAGAATAAAACCCTAATGTGGGGCAGTCTTTAAAAGAAATAGGTCGATGATCGGCCACCACCTAACATGGTGGTAAGCGATGATGCTGTCAAAAGTAGAGCACGCCTGCTAGTCCCACCATTTAAGCTAATTATGGACTTAAAAATAAGCTTATTCCAACTATCTCATTAAAAGTGCGTTTAATTGTAACCTTTGTGCCTACTTTATCTGTACCCAACCAATATTATATAGGTACGTTTCATAATGAGAAAATGCATTACCATATCACATACTACACCTTTCAGCCGCGTCTAAGCTAAAATAGAACATATAATACAACACCGCATTCTAAATTCAAACGCAAAAACAATATCAAAATCCGTCCACAAACAACACTGAGAAATCGGGTAACATAGACCCAAAAAAAAAACATACAGCCGAATTGATATCCTCCTCTTTTTTGGGAAGTCAGTTAATTACATCAGAAAATTAAAAACAAATGCAACATTGGAAACATTATTTGCGTTATAAACAAAATATTGTACTTACGCCCGATGTTTATGCTTAGTTAACTATACATAGCAATAATGGGATTCCAATATGTACATTTTAAATTACCTATATAGTAAATCGTCCTGTCCTATCTACATGCGGTTTAACACAATACATCTCCATATTCTCGTATCAGACCAACAATAATAATTTTATGACGAACTTCCTTTACTTGCACTGAATGATTCACAAACTTTATTAATATAAGGTCTAAAAATTGTACTTACATTTGCAGTTTCTTGCAGTTTCTAAGAGATTTGCACACTGTAACAGCACAACTCGAAATGAGTATAAAACTATATCGTGAAACGCAGGATATATAATAAGTACAAAGTTATCGAAAGTTCCAGATATCCCCGACCATAGAGTATAATGTAATACTCTATGTTTCGCTATGGCTGTACATGTTTTTGTATAAAGTTGGATACACATTATTTCGTGGGTTGCGCTTCTTTATATGAGTATTATTAATATTTTATTTATACGTAAAATAAGAATATATGCGTGATAAAACTTAGGTACATCTTTATCCTATAAGAGTAGGCAGACACTACAGAGTGCCTACTACGATCCTTTCTACGACTAAAGCCACTACACCTTTTTTGCAGTGTTCTGAGTTATTTCAAAATTATATTTTATTAAATCTCCCTTATTAAATTGTATAATAATTTAAAACCAATTTATCAGAGTTATATTGAGCAACAATCAAAACACATAATTGCGATTGGTTGCTGGTTTTTTTTTTTGTAAGGGTAAGGTAATACTAGCGCCCTCAACTACTACAAACTCTTTTTTCTAAGCTGTACCTACAAGCTGTAAACCGTACAATATTTACGATGTTATAATCGGTTTTGCAAAGTGTCTGGGAGTGTAGTTAATACAATATATGACACATGTGAGTAGGTAGGTACTAGTGACAGAATTTTTATTCATCAAACGTAGTCAGCCAGATTTTTTAAAGTGATAAGCCGGTAAACGAGCAGACGGATCACCTGATGGTAAGAAATCAGCGCTGCCCATGGACACCTGGAACACCAGAGACGCTACTGTGCGTTACCGACGTTTTGGGGATTAGGAATTTAAAAAATGTTGGGGATTCAAGCATAGGGTAGATTGGGGTATAATTGGACCTCCGTACTCTGGTAACCTCACTCATACGACGAAACACAATAGCAAAATGCAAGCATTGTTTCACGTCGGTTTTCTGTGAGGCCGTGGTATCACTCCGGTCGAGCTGGCCCATTCGTGCCGCATGGCTATCCCATACTTGAGTCAATGAATACACCCACTTTGGTGTAAAGGTCTTCTCTTAAATCCTCTGATTACTACCTCTTTATACTTAAGTACAGTTCAAATACAGTAATTGTGTAAACAACAATAGCAGAATATGTGGATATATAGTATTGTGATAACTTTTAATTTTAGAGACTATGCTTTATAGCTGACCTTGAAAACGTACCACAGCCTTGTCTATTCCTTTAAAACCCGGGGCTTGCAAACAATAGATATTTCCTTTTGCCAAAACATTTTGTTCACCTAGCTAATGATGTTGCCAGTACATAATGAATAACAAATAATAATGAAATACATAATGATGATAATGAGTGTATATAAAATACATAATATTGCTATATTAGTTTAGAGCAATATTTCAAGGTACCTTTAATCTACCTTGAAATATTGCTGTAAACTAATTTAGCAATATTTCAAGATAGATCCACATCTAGTGAATGCAATTATTGCATAATTGCATTGCAATAATTGCATTAATTCCAGATGTGGAATGTACTGTTTATTCTTAATTAAAAGATAGTCCAATCACTTTCCATAAAGTCGATCACATCTAATTACTAGTACGTATGTTAGAGTAATTTACAGCATAATTACTAAATTAATATATACTACTAATTTCAAATTAATAGTATATATTACACAAGTGTATAAGTTTAACTATCATTATTGAAAACAAGAACGTAACTAAAAAATCGTGCAATAGACAGAAAATATTGTCTATGGTGAACAACCATAGACACAAATATTTTCTTTAGTCAGATAATTGTCTATGGAAAGAAAACCTCTATTAGTTGACGTTTCCTCTTGACTGTCATGGCTGACACGCTGTCAAAGTCAGTGCACAAGTCAATTTGTATTTTTTGTTTGTCAAACTCAAAGCAAGTTGTGCTTGTGTTGAATGAGGACAAGTGTTTGGTTCGTTGAATGATGTGCAGTGCCTTGTTGCTTGAACGTAATGCAACTTATTATCTAAGTAATATGTTCATTTTCTAGCTTCGAAAGCTAGTTTTAAATGACTATGTCACAAATAACTTTTAGTGTGAAAATGTTAAGTGATAATGTTTGTGTTCTGTGCGTGGTGCATTTGTTAATATTATTAGCACTGACAAAGGCCACTACTGAAGCTCAAGAACTAAGTAAGTCTTAAGTTTATTTTCTAATTATTGGCCTGTCTAAATACAATGTTTGACAA